GTGAGCTCGTGCACGATATGATTACGGACTTCAATGCACGTGCATTCAAGTATCCGGAATTCATTGTCGCACGTACATGGAACATGCAGCCTTACACCACCCATCTTATGACAGCTAAGGAAAGAGTGCGGGTTAAGATTGTAATTTTATAAATAATGTGGAATAGCATTGTTTACGCAGGGGACATAACTCTCACTAGACCGCTCATTGCTCAAGTACTGACTACCGCTGGGCTTTACAATAGAAACTATTTAATGGTATCTTTTATTTTCTCTGCGTGCATCGAAATGAATTTACATTGCGGTACATCTGTAGCTACATATTGCTCGCGCATCGTCGTTACTGATGACGTCAGACAATAAAATATTCATTGAGAAAATTATATTTACTATTTACATCATATATGTATAAAGATAACGTAAAGTTACATCTAGATGTCTTACGTTTTCCACACAGTTTAACCACCTTTATATAAAATCTAGGAATTTCAACAATTATCCCGCATTATGCAACCAAAGTTTTAATGTTCAATGTGGTATCCCATAACATATTCTGTACTCAATAGCGAGTTTACAGACTGTACTACAAAGCGATACCTCAATGGGTGCTGTATTTTTGAGAATACTATGTGGCAAGATTTTACCGCTGGTAAACACCAGTCATTTACTGTATTTCAGTACTTATTTATCAAAGCTTTTGAATATTCTTCACAACTCTTCTCGGTCACTGAAAAGTCTTAGCTCGACAAAACAGACATATGATGTTGGACTGTTGCCATGTTATATCTAGTACATTTGATATTAAATTTGTATTAACTATGTAGCTGCTGTGTCACAAACATTAGAACTGTCATTGTTGTATTCCATAGCTTGATGTTACTAGTTTTATACATGTAACCTGTTAACTGAAGATACTATTTCCACAGTATCGGGAATTTCGGAGATGAACTGTCTGCATGAATGTACGAATTAATGGGGCCTGACAATTTCTTGACAGTCCTTCAAACTAATATGACATCTGATTACTGATAACGGTATAATCAGAGAAGGAGGTACCCTTCGGGATAAAGAGTGGAAGAGATTAGATTTTAATTAAATCTAAATAAGCAAGTTAATTCCATTTCCAAGATAGATAAACATTTCAGTAGAATTTCAAGAAATCAAAAAAGCGCGATTTTTATCTGACTTTTGGGAAATCAGTCAAATTGTAACATTAATGAAAGTACCATATGTATAATGGTCTCAGACATTTTCGATTGAGCTGTAGACCTAGCCGTGTATACAATATAAATATGTATATATACTTTACATCAACATTAGTATACATTATTGTTAGAGTGGTCACATGAAAAGCCACTGAGTATAGAAATCAGAGGTGATACGGGAGAACCTGTTACTAACGGCCGACTGATATACCAGATGTTATATGTAGATATACAAAATATTACTCTCTAATGTGCGTACCTGCCTATACTCAACAATGGAATTTATATTCAAAATTTGATCAGTCATCGCCGTTACATGTTCATTAATCTTTTCTTTTTTTTTTATCCAAATCGACGTTTGATCTGGGAAATTAAATAACACGAACATTTTTGTCGTTATGATCAGTGAACCGTCCGTGCCCAAGGCATGAATAATCAAACGATATATAAATGCTCAATGTAACACGTTTTGGAACATGTTCATTGTAGAATATATTAATTTTAAAAACTGCAACGTACATACAATGTGTACGTGTTAAAACCAGGGGTTTTAGCGATATTTTTTTTGTTATTTGATCTGTATTTACAATCAAACGCCATAGAAATGATCAAACGGCGTTTTATGTTCGAATGATTCATATATTTCTGTTTTTTAATTATTCCCGTCAAGAAGTTCAGCACTTCTGGCTAACCTATAGTTTTCCAATACTTATAGCAGTGTTAAATATTGCACTCTCTGTACAGAGGTGTTAACCATGGCACTCTATGTACAGCAGTGTTAATTATGTCACTCTGTGTACAGCAGTGTTAACAATAGCACTCGATGTACAGCAGTGTTAACTATGACACTCTATGTAGAGCAGTGTTAACTATAGCACTCAATGTACAGCAGTGTTAAATACTGCACTCTATGTACAGCAATGTTAACTATGTCACTCTATGTACAGCAGTGTTAACAATAGCACTCTATGTACAGCAGTGTTAATTATGTCACTCTGTGTACAGCAGTGTTAACAATAGCACTCGATGTACAGCAGTGTTAACTATGACACTCAATGTACAGCAGTGTTAACTATGACACTCTATGTACAGCAGTGTTAACTATGTCACTCTATGTACAGCAGTGTTAATTATGTCACTCTGTGTACAGCAGTGTTAAATACTGCACTCTATGTACAGCAATGTTAACTATGTCACTCGATGTACAGCAGTGTTAACTATGACACTCTATGTACAGCAGTGTTAACTATGGCAATCTATGTACAGCAGTGTTAACTATGTCACTCTATGTACAGCAGTGTTAACTATGTCACTCTATGTACAGCAGTGTTAACTATGTCACTCTATGTACAGCAGTGTTAACTATGACACTCAATGTACAGCAGTGTTAACTATGACACTCAATGTACAGCAGTGTTAATTATGGCACTCAATGTACAGCAGTGTTAACTATAGCACTCTATGTACATCAGTGTTAATTATGGCACTCAATGTACAGCAGTGGTAACTATGGCACTCTATGTACAGCAGTGTTATCCATGGCACTCAATGTACATTAGTGTTAACTATGACACTCAATGTACAGCAGTGTTAACTATGTCACTCTATGTACAGCAGTGTTAACTATGTCACTCTATGTACAGCAGTGTTAACTATGTCACTCTATGTACAGCAGTGTTAACTATGTCACTCTATGTACAGCAGTGTTAACAATAGCACTCGATGTACAGCAGTGTTAACTATGTCAATCAATGTACAGCAGTTGTAACTATGGCACTCTATGTACATCAGTGTTAATTATGGCACTCAATGTACAGCAGTGGTAACTATGGCACTCTATGTACAGCAGTGTTATCTATGTCACTCAATTTACAGCAGTGTTAACTATGACACTCAATGTACAGCAGTGTTAATTATGGCACTCAATGTACAGCAGTGTTAACTATAGAACTTTATGTACAGCAGTGTTAACTATAGCACTCTATGTACAGCAGTGTTAACTGTGGCACTGTGAACAGGAATGTTATGTATGGAACTTACAGCAGTGTTAACTGTGAAACTATTTGGACAGGAGTGTTACCCACTGAACACAATTTAACAAACGATAGGTACACTTGTTACAGTTAGGTACCAATTCGGTCATTCTGGTCATTGAATGGCCAGAACAAATATTGACTTATACGTATATATCATATATAAACTTGTTTGAGTATTTCTCTGTTAATATATATACACTCCTTCTGTCCCTCAATATCTTCAGGAGTTTTATCTGATACTGTGAACGTAGCCATTGAAATTCCCTACTGTCTCATATTTTAAAAATATAATTCGAAGTAAACATAATGCTGATATATAAAGTCAAAATGGCTTTGTTTTGTTTAATCACAGATTTCAAAAATGTTTCAGGGTTAAATGGAGGGAAGTCTTCAAGTCCATAAACATCGGTCGCCTCCCGTTGTGACACATACTAATTCTGATTCATTGAATAAATATTGACGATTTTGTAACAACTTCCATCAGCCAGCTATGTATGTAAATGTGTCACTGTACCGACAGATAAACGTCTTCCCAGACCTTTGTTGACGTTGAGGCTTATACCAACATCGAAAAAAAGATCAACCAAAGTTCACAAATATGACACTGGCTTTGAAATATTGACACTGACAAGGAAAGTGTTCAGTAAAACAATTTCCTGACTTTGTCGTAAATCTGATATAAAGAATCTAATCAGTCTATAGTTGCTCAAGTTTTCTTGCTTTTTATAGTCTGGTTTTAATAGAAATAAAACCTGCCACTTTCTCATCAAACAAGAGGTCACATTTCATTGACGAACGTAATTAATTTCCCCCCAAGTCCCATAGATAATGATATGAGCCTTACATAATAGACATTATAGTCTTAACCATGATGATTGAACGGAAATTGTAATAAAAGAAATATTAACTTCCGGTCATTGGAATATTTCGTCACTTTTGTTTACTGGTCATATTCGGGTTCTCTAGTGAAAATAAAAAAAGATAAAAAAAAAAAAAAAATGAATAAAAAAATAAAAAAAAAAACCTTCAGTGATGTTATAAACGTAACGTTCATTTCGCTTTATTAGCAGTTGTTACTTACTGATCGCACTGTCGATCAGATTTGTCAGAAATCGATATAAGGCATTAAAGCCATATCGGCTATCGTTCTACAATACCGATGTCTCACTCGAATACGTTTATCAATCACATTAATTCAGTACCCCGTCATCTAAAATTAATTTCACATTTAACTTCCCCGTTGTGTAATACCTCACATATTCAAATCGTATGGACGTAACTAAGTTATATTGTATGTCCCTTCTTCTGTTCTTTCTAAATCTGTTGATGATGACAACTATTTCTCTGTAGCTCAGAACTGGTCGTCAATATTTCAAAACACAAATAATACTCTAATACAATATAGACGTATTTGTTGTCGAGTTTCGCGCCTTTGCAACAGAGGCTTGAAAATATAGAATACCAGACACCGCCGATAATTTACATTTCAAATTACAGGACTGTCATTACCTTTATTGGGAAATGTATATTAGTTACTTACTGTTTTTAACTTAAAATTGATGCATTTATAAAATTCAAAAGTGTGGCAGGAAATTTCATTCAAGGAGGCTCCATTTTGTGTATTGGATGTATAAAATTATACATATTTTTGTTATTTTTTAATTTAAAATACACAGAATCAACCTCCTATACCAAGGTTTAAAGATAATTATGACAACAAAAGTAAAAAGAGGTAAAATGAATATAAAAATCCTCCTTACCGAATATAAGTATGAGGACATCGGAAACAGCCAAACTGAACAGGAAGTAGTTCGTTGTGGTCTGCATGTAATGGTTTTTAATTATCACAATGCACGTGCAGATATTCCCAAACGTTCCTGACACAAATATCAACAAATAAATGACGAGAAGAAAGATAACAGAAGTCATATCCTTCCGCCGTGGTCCCATACGAGCCAAGAGGAGTTCCTCAGCTGATACAGAACTATTTGTAACATTCCCTAGAGTAGTGTCCAGAATGGTCACCACAGGGTAGGTATCTAATGCCGCCAGTCGTTGTAGGGTGTCATTGTTGTTGGACATGATGGGTATCATATCACACAGTGGGACATCGGTTATCCAAACTTATTTACTGCTATCTCCAATTGCTTGATGCTTTTTATCACCAATCCAAGTAAGATATTTACCAAGGCATCAAAATTGTTTAACACCATTTTGGAATATATTTCATCAGTATTTCATTGAAGAGCCATATTGACAGGACAAGCTGTAGCGCAAGAACACGCATGACTCTTCACCTCACTGTGTCCATCCGCAGAAAGTGACGTGACGTGTGAGTATTCCTCAGAGATGCTTATGGTTTTACTCCATCTAAAGCACACAGGTAGATGTTCTCTATACTTACTGTGTGTTATTAAATTTCCGCTAATTTGCTCTCAGCACTCAGATAGCTAGGTCACCCCATTTAGTTTAACAGACTATAAAATAGCTGTAATATTAGGTATATCCAGGTCGTCACAGGATGGTGGTGTATTTACCTTGCCCAAATCACGACAGCTTGTATCAAGATAAGCACCTGCAATATACAAATGTAAAAGTCCTTCATGCAAAGCTGCCCGATGCCCTAGAAACATACATTAGTCAATATCAAATACATCAATGTTTAATCTTTGACCGAACGCTGATCGTTAAAAGCTTTAAATAAAATTATAGACTGTTTTAGAAGTATTGGCTCCACTTCAATTTTAACCACAATAGTTTTCAAGCAAAAAGGCAATAGTTGTATATTCCATTTACATGAAAAAAATATCAAAAAGGTATTTTATCACTATTTTGTGATTTAAACCAATTAAAACATGACCTTATTGATAACTGAAGGAGTACAAATCACAGTGATTTTAGTGGCAGTGCTTGTCTAAGGAATCAATCTAGACCTCATTAGATTTATAAAGAATCCTGAAGTCTACACTGATACGAGTTTCCTAAGTATTTCCAACCTGAACTAGTGAAGAATTTCAGACCGGACCCCTTTCTGTGATCACACTATGGTGTATCTGTTGACCATTTGACGGCGATAGTAAACAATATTATACAATCAGACATTATTGTCACATTACATAACAACCAAGGCACCTCTAATCAGTGGTCACGTGGTCAGCTGGTCAATGTCTGGACCTCTGTTCCGATCAATACAGTGGCGTATGAAATAGTCGGTGTCCGGAAATAAACACATCGTAATAATAATAAGTAAATCAAACGTTATTTTCAATAGTGCGCCAAGGACACTGACCAAGACTTCGGCACGATACTGACCATTCTCAGCAAACCAATATTTCTCTGTAAATGGTCCTCAGGTTGGACACTGATACTGCATTTCTTTCCAAGATGAGAGAAACTTTTTGATACGTACCAGAATGAGAGCGTTAAATTAGTCAGGTTGCCGTTTGATCAGGTTTGTATAACTAAAGGCCTGCTGACTACCTTAAATGTGCCAAATTTTACAGTGTAACAAGTACAAACTTACCATCAGAACGGAGAAATGACGAAGTAAGCATTTATTGTACCTCCGAATTTGTGAGTCTCGTTTTAGAATGTAAATGAAGTATGTCCGCCGTGGTCTGTGATAATCGTGGGAAAGTTATAGAACACTTACTTTCTGGACTTATATACTGTAGCAACATACATGTATCACGTGTAAGCGTATATTTATAGACGTGTTAAAACACATGACGTAAACACATCATATCTCCCATCTTCACTCACAGCTGACTGTTTACATGGGTCAGTTTTTCCATGCTAACAGATTAGTAAAAACGAGCGAAAATTCTTATTTGAAAATTCTAAACAATAATTTCAATCAACACCTTGAAATGTGATTCCTACAACTGTCACCCATGCGACTCTGATTCAATAATCATCTGTATACATGCACGTGTGTCCACGTGTACCAGATGGGCGTGGTTTGTACACCTACGCACGTGTAGAGAGGAAGGTCCGACCCAACTTTACTTTTATTCGTAATTCAGTAGACCGAATCAATAACCGCGCAATAATCACGGCCTCAAGTATTGATTTTAAATATGTATGTATGGTTTTCTGTTAAACTCTCACAAGCAATGTTACACATCGAACTTCTACCGAAACTTGGTTCTGCAGTTATTGACCTGTGTAATGGGTTTGATATTCTCTCCGGGTTTAATTAGCCGTAGTGTTTATTATAACGGTAATTTATGTTAAAGAAACATGAAATCAGATCCCAGTCTTTCAATATTATTAGCTAAAAGCTGACTCCAAATATGGCAGTACGACAAATGGATATTGACAATCATCGTCAACCGTTGCTGCGATGTTTCCGCATCTGACCTGATGACGCCAGGAAAAAATTCAAAATGACTGTCAATGTCTTAAACATGCGTATTATTTCATATTGAAAACAAATTTAAAGTATATTTGAAACAATATCTGTATTATCACATTCGCGTTCTCTATCTTCCTTAACATGTAAAAACACAGCCTGTCAGTAGCAGCTCGGTTCGTATTATTACATCGTCAGTACATATTTCATATGGAACGAATGCATAAACAGTATTGCCGGTTGGATTTGTCTGTGATCTCCTCGGATCAAACAATCGTTATCAAGCATTTGAAAGGATTGAGTTCTGCATGTGCATTTTCCACAGATTAAATTACTTTTTTAGGAGAGTTACAGATAAATACACCACTCACGTGTAGGGTATCATGGAGAGAGGGTGTAGTGTCGTGAAGGAATGGTTAAAACACTGACGCAACAACAAGACTCAAAACAAGGCAGTGGAGCCAGAGAGTGCTACAGTGTGTACTTTTAATGTCACACAACAAAGGTATAAGATCGTAACTGTGTTGGAACTATCTCCGTGTCATAGATCACGCGAGAGTTTGTGTTGGAACTGTCTCAGTGTCACAGATCACGCGAGAGTTTGTGTTGGAACTGTCTCAGTACAAAAGATCACGTGAGAGTTTGTGTTGGAAATGTCTCAGTGTGAAAGATTACGCGAGAGTTTGTGTTGAGACACAGAAAGATTGTGCATGAACAGTCTCGGAACTATCAAATACACGAGAGTTCATCCAATCAAATCACTAGAGGTCTGTCAAGGCCGGCAACATAAGGATATTTCATGATTTTACAGCCTGATCCTAGAACTCCTATCTTGAACAAAATGTCACGTTCTCCAGAACTACCCACAAGATTGTAATGTAAGATACCAACCCTTTATATACAGTTTGTTTGCTGATAAAACTTTATGAATAATATCGAGATCGTGAATAATACAGATATATATTACAATTATAAAACCTCGTTTGTTTGTCGATGTTTCACTCCATGTTTATTTTATTTATAAGTAATCTATGTATATATCGAGATGTGTTAATAAACATCCAATGATCGTGTCACGTTTTAATTTTCATCACGATTTGTATACAAACATAATTAATACATATCTATAATTGGAATTTTTTGTAAAGTACAATTCATGTTAAGATATCATGTATCCTAAGCCAGCACAACACATACATTCTAGCAATGTTAAAACACAAAACAGTAAAGCGTTGAGCACTATAAGGTAAAACGTTGAACACTATGAGGTAACGTGTTCTCAGCCAGCACAAGTATTAAAACGTGAAACAGTAAAACGTTCAAAATTATACGGCAAAAGGTGAAACACTACAAACGTGAAACATTACAAGGTAAAACGTGAAACACTACCAGGTAAAACGTGAAACACTTCATGGTAAACGTGAAACACTACATGTTAAAACGTGAAACACTACATGGTAAAACGCAAAACACTACAAGGTAAAACGCAAAACACTATAAGCTAAAACGTGAAACACAACAAGCTAAAACGTGAAACATTACAAGGTAAAACGTGAAACACTACAAGGTAAAACGTGAAACATTACAAGGTAAAACGTGAAACACTACATGGTAAAACGTGAAACATTACAAGGTAAAACGTGAAAAAACGCGAAACACTACAAGGTAAAGCGCAAAACACTATAAGCTAAAACGTGAAACATTACAAGCTAAAACGTGAAACATTACAAGGTAAAATGTGAAACATTACAAGGTAAAACATGCAACACTACAAGGTAAAACGTGAAACACTACCAGGTAAAACGTGAAACATTACAAGGTAAAACGTGAAACACTACAAGGTAAAACGTGAAACACTACAATGTAACATATGCCATAAGCTAGCACGATACAGCAACATGGATGTGATATACGTGAAACCCAGTTACATGAGAACGATATTTCATTCACTGAATATACGTAGTAGATGGATGGCGTGCCATTCTTACCAGACCGAGGCATGATTATTTGTATAAATTGTACTGATACTATCAATATATACCTACCCAAACTGTATCACTCTGTACGATGACACATAGATAGGTCACACAAATCGTTTTTATGTTTGTAATGCTAACAAAATTTGACTTTCTTGTGTTGTGACGAAGTTCGTTAGCTTTCACACAAAAATCCTTAGGAGCGAGCTATATCTTGTTATATATATCAGTGTAAACCTATTTACAAACAACTTTAGGGTAGTATTTTGGAAGTATGTAAAATTCAAATGATCTTAAATATATAATGATAGTATCAAGACAGATATCCCGACAATCCCGTAAATCAATATTACCTGACTGGAGTAATCTTGTTATCCGAACTGTTATAATCCTACAAACAGAAACGTATAATTCTCCAGGACATATATGGCTATTTGTGACTTCTTAAACAGTTATATGTTTATTAATGGAATTCTGTAATAATTACAGTAAATAAAGAGTAATATCCATGTATTCCGAAACTGATACCGGGCAGAGACTAATGACGCATAATATGTTTATTTGCATTTTCCAACCTGAACTTATAACCTCTTAATCAAACGTTCAACTAATTAGGAATCATAACATGATATTACCCTGTGATGTTGAAAGAATGCGATAATGGCGTTTACGTCCGGTCAATCAACAACACTGGTTTAGGATGTCAGACTGATCACGAGACATTGTTTAGGATGTCAGACAACTGACCACGAGACAGTGTTTAG